GAGAGAGAGAGAGAGAAGAGGGATTGGACGGTGGGTCGGGGGAAGGGGAGGGCAGTCGCTTTGCGGATAATAGCTGCGCTCGAGAGGTCATGTGAGCCTGACGTTCCAGCATGTCAACAGCAACTATGCATCATCGGATGTCTGCCGCACGTAAACGCCTGTCTCCTCTCCGCCCCCCGCGCGCCGTTTGCCCCCTCTGTGGGCCGTTTCTGCTCCAACTCGGTGGCCCTTCCGGTGACCGCCGATCTGCCCCCTCCCACTATCGTGATCCGTGATCAGATATACGGGCTCATTCATTATAATAAGCAGCGACGGTCAAATGAACCCTTGTTAACCGTGAAATATCGATTCCTCCCCCGTCCAGGTGCAAGGATTCCGATGAACCGTGCGATCGGCGCTGTTCATCATCGTACTGATGATGTCTAATTCACGAGAGACCTCGATTTTTCTCTGGTCTTGCGAAATGAGGCGTCAGTAATCCGCAGGATCATTTAACGTCTCCGTTTTTTTTTTACGCCGCGGCAATTTTACGTCCACTCCACTAGACCGTGTAAATCCCGGGCGCAGTCTATGCGTCACGCGGAAATAGACACCCGGGTCGGGTGGCGAGCCGTAGATTGCCTCCCGGGTTGCTCTTGACACTACATCGTCGTCGTAATAACAATTCATTTTCGGCAGCGGCATGATTTCCCCGGGAACGTGACCGCACTGCACACGTTGCTCAAGGGCGAGTGGTAATGGTGGCGTTAGAACGGACAGGGCGGTGGGGACGTGGGACTAACGTGCGGTTACTCGTGTGCCGTGCTACGAAATTACTTTAAATTATGGAAAATGGCCGTGGGAGAGAGAAAGAGGGAGATTGGGAAGTGTGGCACGTTTGCTGGTCGGCAGCACCCTCGGCGAAAGGAGGAATAGGGGAAAAAAAAGTTAATGCTCTTTCCTTCTTATACTCGCTTTTCCATTTTGCCTTTTTCCCTCTTTTCCGCGAGGTTCTTCGTCTGTTCCATCGTATACGTTCTTTACCATTTCTTCTTTCTTGCCTGAGATTTCTCACTCTTGCGCTTTCTTGTTCTTTTCATTTTCATCATCCTTACATCTTTGACCTCGCTGTCTTTTTCTTCCTCTTTTCACTTCGGAGCTTTGTTTCTTGTTTTTCTGCTTCTGCGAGCTTTATCTCTTACCTACGTTTGTACTTTTATTTTACTCTTCTTTTCATTCTTGTTTATTGCCTCACTCTGTATTTTTATACTCGTTTTACCTTCTCTTTTGTTTTAATTCTTGCTTATTACCACTGGAATAATTATGCTAGAGTATTTATCATAATACAGCTTTAATGAAAAATATTACAGCAAAGTGATCATATCTTTATATATGCAATTTATGAAATTTAATATTAAAAATTGTCTGTCTATTCTTCATTTATAATAACTAGATTAACAGTCGTTGTAACTTTATTTATAACGACTAGTTTAACAATTTATTAAACATACTTAATTTTTTTAATAAAAAGCACTACTTGTGTTTGATTTATTTTCGTAATTTTATGTATTTTCATAATCTGAGTGTAGCTTCATAATTCCTTCTTTTCTGCATCACTTTAATTTTTGTAGCACGCTTTAATTTGTCTGGAAACTACTTGCTAAATTGAATGAATTTCTCTCAACCTCTCTCTCTCTCTCCCTCTCTTCCCTCTTGGTTCCGACTCGCGTAGTTACCTCTCTATATATGGTATACGTGTGTGCACCCCCGCGCGAAGTGCAACCCCCGAACCGGCTGCATATCTCCACGCCAGGAATTGGAGTGGATGGCGAACGTGGGTACAATAGTTCGCATTGTATTGGATCCAGCCGAGTGATAGGCCCCTCTCACTCTCCTATTCCTCCTCCTCCTTCTGCTCTTCTCTCTCCCCTTCCTTCTCTTTCTCTCTCTCTCTCTCTCTCTCCTCCTCTCTTCTCTCTCTCTCTCTCTCTCTCTCTCTCTCTCTCTCTCTCTCTGTCTCTCTGTCTCTCTGCCTGCCTCACACCTCATCTTTCTCAACCCCTACGTATTCGCCCTCCTATCGTATCTCATTTTCTGAAGGCCCGGCGCGAGCGCGTATTGTGTCGTGTGCTATGCCCAAATCTCTCTATCTATCGCCATTGCGGCCAACTGCGTCGCCTCTGCCGTTTTGTGCCCTTTCAGTCGTGCTTCGGTTTAAGTGCAGCATGCATCGCGGACCAATGCTCGAATGCATTTCTTAAGGGAGACCGACTCCTATCACGTTCTTTCATCGCCCTTGACAATCGATGGTTGTTACAAATATCGTAGAATTTTCTCTCGTAAAATGTCAAACTCGATTTTTGTCGTAGGAGAAAAGAGAGAAAGATTATATAAAACAATTTGTATTTTTTTAATTAATTGTTTATAAACTTGAACAATTTTTTTTATTATAGATTCGAAGAATTATCTGTTATTACGAAAATTCTTTTCATAAAGTTGAGATCTGTCTTGAATTTATTCTTATCTCAATGTTGATAATAATATTCAGTAGCGCAATGATATATAACTCGAGACGCGTTTGAAAGTATGAGATGGCTAAATACCGATGATGCACCTGCCAGGAATATTCATTTGTACTGATTAACGTCGCGAACAACATGTCAAGCGTGTGCGGCGCGAATCCGGGCCATTGTGAATATCTGAATATCCGCGAGGCACGCGAATTCCCATATCTGATTGCGCGCGGATAGACTCGGATCTCATTTCCTGAGTACATCCAAGTATTTCATATATGTGCATGGGTGCACCCGAGGGCGAATGCTTCTCCCGTGTAAATGCGTTGCTATTTAATATTTTGTTATATTGCGATAAGTAAAATTAGCTTCATAATGACACGATTTCTGTCTAAATTCGATAGTTTTATAGATAATAAACGATAAACAAAGTGATAATTGCTGCAGTAAGAGAGATGACTATTAAATCTATAAATCTATAAATAAAGTAATATTTATACAAGATGTAAATTTGTAGAAAAATTATGATTATTATTTTGAGAAGTATTTCCAATAAACAAATTAATCAAATACTTTATTTTCCAAAATTTGCAAATGCAATATAGTAGAACCGCGCTGTTTAAATGAAATAATAATTCATCTAAGAGTAATCGCCAGCGGCGCTTTCAAAAATTTTTCTTGTAATCGATAATTTGTTGCTGTTCTCGACTACTGGTGAAGCACTTCTCGTCTAAATATACGGATTTCACTAATCGGACTCGCGCGCATATATTACAGTGATCTCAATAACGGCACGCGCGTAGATAATTTGCTGCATTAGTATCGTACACTGTGTACAGGTCGATTTCATATAATTAGGCACATGATCGGACGCGGCAAACTGGTGATTATGGATTATTCGTTCGGCGCGCAATGACACGCAAACATGAGTATCCCAAATTATGGAGTGTGGAGAGACAAGCTAAATTATAACATTTTACAATGCATTTTTTATTTTACTATAGAGATAATTATGCATGAAAAAAATTGCAATTTGTAGGCTATATATATGGTGATTACAATTACTTTTCGTTTTTTATTATGTAAAATTATTTTTATGTTTTTAATTATAATTATTCTTAAATTATTAACTATTCAGCAGTAACGTACGTATAGAATAAAAAAAATGTTTATTTAATCTTCGAATTGTCCTAGAATTGTTTCTGAATCTATCGATTGGATCGAAATAGAGAGAGACCGCTGCCGACTCCACGATATAGCGGCGAATGAAATTTCGCAAAGAGAGAAAGTTCCCGAAAAATAGAATTACCGCGAAACCGTGTTCTCGTCGGGAAGAGGATAGGGAATTAAACGGCCTTCGAACGCGGCCCAAATAATTGATGCACGTCAATTAGATTTGTCAGGCCAATCGTCGTAATTAAATCAACAGGAACGCGAGGCATGAACATGTACACATAACTGTCGACGGTTACATATGTGCATGCATGCACACACCTGCCTTTGCGCATGGCTACCTATATATCCGGACCATATTCGAGAGAGTCCGCGGTGTGAAATTTAAATTTCTCCAATACCGGACACCGATAATCCCGTTGATTCGTCGAAATCGCCGGCAATTCATGCCGCACTTTTCCGGTAACAGTTAACTATTCAGTTAAATGACGCAGCCATTACGATCAATTATCGTTCACTGCTCGCATTTAGAATAGGTAACGAGCGAGTATCGGATAATCTTTTTTCGTAATCAACTTGTTTCTGTTAAGAAAGTTCCGTGAAGAATTTTGCGTACAGAGTTGCACGGGGAACTAAATTTTCACAAAATATACATTAATCTAATGTATTTCTACTATCCGAAAAGTTATGAGAAGGCTGAAATAACGTTTTCAATCAAATAATAAAAAATCAAGATTGGCGATTTAGTGCCGAAAAGTTTTAAGACGATATTGTGATCAGCTTCTATATCATTTATTTAGACAATCTATGATGTTATAAATATTTTCCAAATTATAGAACAGAGATTAAATATGAAACACACGAGATTGATGAGGAATTTGAAAGTATTGTGACAAAGAAAGAAGTTAGATATTGATGAAGTAGGAGAGCGTGCGTTTCTCGCCGCTCGTTGATGTGTGTAACGCAACAGGTTTCTTCGCTTATTTTCGTAGCACCGCAGGTCGACGCAAGAGTGATATCGCGTAATAACTCGAAACACCCACGTTGTGTGCTGTCCCAATATATTTGAGGGAGAAACTGGGCCACTGTTCGCTCGCATGTAATCGGTCACACGTTAGTTGGCAACAGTTTATTTACAAATTGCTCGGCCAAATTGTTGACAACAAGTTAGAGTAAATTTGTGTAGCTATGACAAGAAAATTCGTGCCACTTACTTTTCTTCGTAATAAAACGTTTGCTAACGTTTGCTAACGTAGTAAAAAATGGCATTTATTAAGCAATTGCCAATCGGCAATATTTTCGCGTATATTTTAATTCGATTGCTTGAATTGCATTAAAGGAGTTTTTTTTATGTGGACACAGTCTATTGGTATATTAATTTATATTATTATAGTTTAGAGATCATAGTTCGAAGTTCGCGACGTAGAATCTTGCCAGTGGGATTCTTGGGTATGGCGTTCACAAAGTGTATTCCACCTCGCAGCCATTTTTGCGGCGACAGTTTCTCTGCAAGATAAATTGAATTGTTGGATTAAAATGTATAGGTCGCCCGTCTTGCGTCTGCTATTAAAATGCAATGTCAAGACGCGGCGCGCGAAATATTTTCACGCTCTCGCTGTGCGATATGTTTAAATTATAGAGACGATGAGGATAACTAACAATTTTGTTACTGACGCAACACGGCATTTAATGTTGTTCCAGCGTCGCTAATAACTAATAATACCGTTAATAATGCAACGCGATGTTTAATGTTGCCACTATTTCATGCGCTCGCTGTTGGAACCATCGTGTTAAACCCGCATTTAGATGTACAATGCGCATTTAGATTTAAATACAATAATGTATTACTAATTTTTAACGCATTATTGCGTTAAATAAAATTTACTAAATTCATTATTTACAATTAAACAGAAGCTTAAATAATAATATACATTGCTTTTGAAAAAAAGTTTCCGCTGTGTAAAAAATTTAAATTTGCAGCGCTTATTTAACCACGATTAACGAATATCTTGATGAGCCTATCAGATAATTCGAAAGAGATCACTTACGTTTGACAAATTCGTGGAGATCTTCGGCGGTGATCGTAGCTCCGGGTTGCCTTGTTACGAAAGCTGCAGGAATCTCCCCGCTGCGTTCGTCAGGTTTGCCGGTGACCGCGGCGTCCTTCACCGCGGGATGCGACAGTAATACCGTTTCTATCTCCGATGGCGAGACTTGGTAGCCTTTGTACTTGATCAGTTCCTTCAGACGATCGACCACGTGTAGCCAGCCCTTGTCGTCGTAGTAGCCGACGTCTCCAGTGTGCAGCCATCCGTCCTGGTCGATGGTCTGCCTGGTAGCTTCAGGATTGTCCCAGTAATACATCATCACTTGCTCCCCCTTAAAGCATATCTCGCCGACTTTACCCGCTTCCAGCGTCTCCTGCGTGTTGACGTCGACTACTTTACTGAGAAAACCGGGTAGAGGCAGTCCTGAGCTTGGATTCTCGTACAATGTCGCACTGTTTTCGTCTTCTTCGCGTGCGCTTATGTTGCTCACTACTGATAGCTCTGTCATGCCGTAGCCATTGCGAATAAACTTTATGCCGATGCGAGCTTTTACTTCAACTACGACCTATGTAGAGCAGAAAGAGAGGTTGTCTCAAAGTTGCATTGGCTTTAAAACTGGTTGCTAATTAATTTAATTCGAATTAGTTTAATTAATTAATCAGAGTTAATGTTGATGATTTGTAGAATAGTAATCTGAAAATGCCATTTAAGGTGTCTTTCATTTAATTACTAAACGATATTATTACGAATGTAGAATAAATTTTATTCAACTTAAGCATTAGCGATTGTATTTTTTTGAAGGCTTTTTTTTTCATTCTCAGCAGTTCTTTAATCTTGACGCGACTGTTTCTCAAATATGCGAGAGATAAAGGCAACGACGGCACTCAAGTGACGCTTAAGTACAGAGGCGTGCTCAGTTTTCGAAACTTTAAATGGTCCCTTTATCCCCGTCCAACCGATAAGAGATCAGTTTCGCATTTTCCGAAAGACGCGATTGCGAACTCGCGAGTGCGGCCTTTTATTTCGTCTTCCTTTCCCTCTTAGTGACTCCGCTAACCGGTTAAACAAAAACGAACGCGGTAAAGTTACTCCTGGGTCCGTGTCTAGTGAAAACGCGACGACTCTCTGAGATTTCCTCCCGCGGTTCTTCGCTCGGTCCTCTCACCGTCGCCGCGACATCGAGGACTCACTTCGGCACTTAGCCTCCCTCTCCCCCGATGGCTTTTCTTGCCGCGATAACTTGGCCGAGGAATCGGCAGGCAGAGAGACGACAAACTTCACAACGACAGAGGAAAACTTACGTCCTTCGAAAGCGGCGCCGCTCCGCAGACGATTTCTCTCACGCTCCGCAAGTCGTATTTCTCTACCAGCGGATGCTTTGCCAGGAACGTCAAAATTGGCGGCACAATCGGTAGATGAGTGATCTTATGCTGCTGGATTAAGGTTAGGAAGAGCTTCGGCTCGAAGGCAGGCATAGTAACGATCAGGCAGTTCGTGTAGATGCATATCAACAATGTGCTGAATGCGTAACCGTGATAAAACGGCAGCAGTATCATATATCTGTCACGTGGCTTTATATCCATGTACTCGGGCTGTCTGTAATTTTAAATTAAACTCGTTATTTTTGTATTACAAAGAAATCTTAATTTAATCAAGTAATAGAACGGCACTTTTTTCGAAGAATGCTGCATTGCGATTAAGTATTTTTATCATAAAAATGCCTTATATTAGCGCATTAAAGTCTATAGATCTATATATATATTAATAGATGTTTGTATAACTCACATTATTTTAGTAACGATTGCCATTAGATTTTTATGAGACAACGTTACTCCTTTCGGCAACCCTGTAGTTCCACTTGAACAAAGAATAGCCACTGGATGTTGACTACTGTCACCAATATCCGTTGCTTTGTATTTTAAGAAGTCTGTAGCTTGTTCGTTATTTAAGATATCTGTTAACGTGCGAACATTTGCCGTGTACGGCTGATCGTCCAGTTCTATTAATTCCACCTTCCACGATAAAGTCGATACGACTTTGGCCAAGAGATTTTCCGTGCGCCGAGATACAAAAATAATCTGCGGCTTTGAAACTTTTAATATATGCTGGAATTCATCTAAATAATAAATATTATGCAATGAGTGTTTAAATTCGGATTAGAATGAATATTTAAATTTGATAAATATTCTATAGATAGTAATTCATATATAATATATTTAAAATGAGAGTGAAAGTTATATAATATTTCATTATTGAATGTAATGCACATCTCTCTCTCTTTTCTCGGATCTCTCAGATTATTAATTATTTTATTTTTATATTTTACGCATGTATAAAATTTGTGATTGATTTTATTATTAGCAAAATGATTGTAAGAATACCACGATAATAATGCACATGTTGAATAATAATATGTTTACTTACATTCTGTGTACATAGGGTTGTACGGCGCAAGTACAGTACCGAGATATAAGCTCGCGCAAGCCGGTATTAACCAATCCACTCGATTTTCAGTTGCAATGGAAATTCTATCACCAATTTTTATCCCGCGTTTTTGCAAAAATTTTGCGAGTTTTATGCTCTTCTCGAGTAATTCTTTGCTTGTCATTTGTTTGCCATTGGACCCGTCTATCTGTAAGAATATAATAGCATTTTCATCATATCGTAACGTTGACGTAATTGTAAGATAAAAAGTTTTTTCCGTAATAAAATTTAGTTTTATACGTTGTGAGAGTCACGCACTCGCCTTTTAAACATATATTAATATGTGAATATCAAGATTATATTTAAAGTTTATATAAAAAATTTAATAATATCTGAATATGCATTTTACATTTAAATTGAAGAAACTGCAATGTAGTTTTCAATTAAATATAACCGAATGATGGAGAAACTATATTACTTTTATAGTTATAAAGTGTATGATAGCTCTTTTATCATAAATTATTATTTAAAATAATACAATATTATTTAAGTTTTCTTTTCTATCATTTAAAAAGCTTGAAAGTAAATTAATATAAAAATACAATGTGGACAGATGAGCTCATAACTAGTCGTTACGAGCGATGCGACAGCGAAAATTCAGAGATAGAATTCACGAAATTTCGCTTTTCGCCTAACGATTAATGCTGATGGAAAAATCTTTTGTTGCTTGACACGTTCTATCATTTCATAGTAAAATTTTGCAGGCGATCGACTCGTAATTGGTAATATCACAGGCACGTATATTGCGATAATGCTACATACTAGCAAGACATGATCGCCGTTCTCGCTCAGCTTGTTTAGCACAGCTTGTCCCATAGATATGGTTGGTGTTGGTCGTTCCAGTCGACGCTCATATATTTTTCCCATTTTTATAACAATGAAACTTGAGTTACAGTCAGAGAAATAATATTTTTATCTGAAACAGAATGTGAGCGTATTTTTTAATTATATTAATTATTACAAATTTAAATTTATTTGGACCTTTTACTAGAAGATAAGAATATTATAGTTTTGTAGTACCACATAAAAATGCTAAAAATACTTTATAAGTTCTAAGTTTTATTTTTTTATTGCAATACATGGAAATCTTTTTTTAGAAATTTCTAAAAAACAAGACAGAAATATATTGCATATATTGCAGATTTATAATTTTTACATTATCGTACAATAACAATATAAAAACGGTAATATAAAAATAATAAATTAAAAAAAATTTTAATTGATTATTTACTTAAAATTATTGTTAAGTAAAAAATGAATTGTAAATTAATAAAAGAATTTGTTTTTAAAATTAAGATCATGAATTATGAGACATCCTACAAGATCTAAAATTTGTTAAAGAGTAAAATTTTCTTAAAAAATAATTTAATTATACACATTTATTTCTCAATTTTATTCTCTCTCTCTCTCTCTCTCTCTCTCTTTCGCAGTTTTTATATATTTATATATATCGTCCGATATTATCGACCGTGTGCTAAATCATAGCATCTTAATCAACAATACCACCATAAGTCGCCGCGAGATCGCAGCGTAGTCGTGCGGATATATTTTGTGGTGTAAAACGTATTTGATTTCGCGGCTCCTGTTTTATTGTAAAAAATTCGCAAATTTACGACAATAGGTATCTCATGTTACATTGTTTGCATGTTCCTTTATCTATTATATCGTTTTATCGTAAAATTGTACTTTTCGCACATGCCGATGCGATAATATTAGCTCGGATTACTGTCTTCTAGAAGAATTCTGTCTTGTAACGTCATAATAACGAATCATTTTTTATCTGCTTCCAGAATCCAGATATCGTAGAAAAATGGAAAGCTTCGCAAAGATGAGAGGATTGAAAGACAAGGAAGGAGATAATCAGGAAGGTGATTGTGATGAAGAAAACTGCGGTGAGTTATAAACATGATATGTTTTGTTCGATATTATACTCATTGCTGTTTATTGCATGGCGTTATGGCTATGGCGCTGTGGTGCGACTTTGCTTGGCGCGAGGCGAGCTATTGTAGCATGCGTTATTTTGAATTTTTTGATCTTATTATGGACGTATTATGGAAGTATTATGGACAAAGTTATTGAAATTTGCAATAACCAAAATATAACAACAATAGTAATAAAAACAAGAAGTTTAACTAAAAGAATTGCAATAATCACAATAATACAATTAAATAGGTTATCTGAAAAAATGTATATATAGGAAAACATTAATTTCTATAAACTTTTTTTAAATATCAATAGTTCTTAAGCAAGTATTTTTTGAAATTACATTTTTTTATAATTTTATACACGTACTTTTCCATATACTTTTTAAAAGATAAAAAGTTTAAAAATATCAAATTTATTCTTAACAAAATATTATATATTTTTTTAGAATTAATTCATTAATTTATAATTTTTCAAAATTATACTTAAAGAAAATATATTATTAAAACAAGATACAATATATTTTTCGTAAAAAATTGAAACAAACTTGATATGTATATATACATTCAAGCAGAGTAGATATAAATGTGTGACTGAAAAACTGACATTCCAAAAAAATTGACAATTATTTTATTTTTATTAGAATGTATAGCACACAGTGTTTCTCTGGCATTCTCAGCTGAATGTTCTTATTGTTAGACATACAGGGTGATGTCAGGCAGAGAGAGAGATGAGAATGCATTCTCTTGAAGCTTAGATGAAGGAAGGGGATAGAGACGCGTGCCACAAGTTCCATGCTGTGGCCATAATCGTGAGGAAAAAGTGTTAGGGAAATTCTGTTAAATATCATCGTTTAAGTTCCTCCGCTTGACTGTCTCCTGCTTAAAATATTTGAAAATATCTTTTTATTTTTATCATATCTGTGGCGTTGTTATATAAATATATGACATGCACAAATATGTGGCGATAGCAAATTTGAATGGAATTTGGAATATTATTATACTTATTATGAATGTTTTTATTATTCCAATTCTTCGGTTGTTGCTTAAAGCGTACATGATGGTTCGATTGAATTAAATTGAATATCGTTTGCGCGCATGAGTTTTATATAATTTGCAAATTTTGCAAGAGAAAAATTGGTAAACCATGAAATTAAACTTTTAATTAGTTATAATATTAAAAGTTTAATTATAAACTGATTGTTACACTATAATATGAGCAATACGTAGAGCAAGAATAAATTAAATTCATAATATAAAAGATTTATTTTGCATGCGAATTCTCAAATAAAGTGTACAAATTATGTACTTATATCATACTTGTTCTACTGAACGGTTCATATATGTGTAAAATGTTCTAAAGGCACTTTAAGTTTTATAGTTAGGTAGCACTTTTTAATCTTAAAAACTTTTGAAGAGCTAAGAAATTCAAGTTCTTCAGCAAAATCTGTACTTTAAAATATATTTAAAAAAATATGAAGTTTAGTACCTAATTTTTATCAAAAGTTTATTTTGATAAAAAAATATGCGATTTTTTATCGTATACTTATTAAAAAATATATATATAATAAATAAACAAACGAAGCAATGGCACGCGCATCGCGGTATGGTTAGATCGCAAGCAAACCGACTTCCGGCGTTCCCCGCGACGTATGCACTCCATCCGCGGGAATGTATGCGACGGTGTGCATCCGGTATCTAGCTGCTCGTCTTCGGGTATTTGCGTGGCGAGTTTGAGGAGAGGATGGGGATGATAGCGGACCGAAGCGCGTTCTCGGGAATCGCTGAAGTGCTGGGGAATCGCTCTTCGGGGTTGGTCTTGTCGTCGACGACATGGACAAGGTTCCGGGGGCGGTTAGGGAAGCTTGGGACGCTATAAGCAGAAGGGATGGTCGAGGGCGCGTGCCACTCTGATTGTAGTAGCCATACTGGGACACTGGAGCTACATACCGACAATTCTTGGTCTCATACGACATGCCTAGACACCCCGGGAATACTTACGACCTCGAAGTTGAAGGCGGCTTACGCGATACCTTCCGAAAATCTCTGCACGGATTACTTTCGTCCTTTCCTCTGTTTCTATGCTTTGAAATTACGTGGGAAAAAAATTTGTGGTGCACTTTATTTAGTTTTATTTATATGTTTTTTGTTGTATCGCTTGGGGGAGCTCGTTTTACTGTAATTTTTTTTATCTTTATATAAGTTGGTTTTAATGTGCCGCGTGTCACACTTTGATTTTACTCTCTTTAAATTTGAACTTTTTACAAATGAGACATAAAATTAACTTTAAATAGAGTATTTATTAATAAATTAAAAGAAAAACAGAAAGTGTTTTTTTTTTAATTTGTAAATTCTTGTTATCATTCAATCACCAAGATATTTAATGTTATATATATGATAATAAAAAGTCGCAACAAATATTTTTCTTACAACTTTGCCTGAAAAAAACTTCAAATTCTTGAAAGATTCTTAAAATAAGATCGGGGATTTAAAAATATTATTTTAATTTATATTCTTGGGAATCAATTCCGTTTTATTATGTTTTCAATCACATCATAGCATAATCCATTTTAAAACCACATTTAAAGTTACGCTGTCGGATATGTTTCGGAAATTTCATGTAGAAAATCGATTGAAAAATTGGGAAGTCGTGTGTTCCGGTAAATTTCTATCGAAAACGTGTGAATGCTCGTTGACGTAAATCCCTCTCGAAGATGACATACCGGTAAGAACAACCATTCTGATCCTCTCGCGAATATCCCCGTGAAATTTTATCGGTATTTCG